GACCTGAGCCGAAGGCAGATGCCCAACAACTGAGCCACCCAGGCACCCCAAGATATACATTTCTAAAAAAAGAAATTCCCTGAAAAGCTCAGCTAAGGTATAAATTACATGGGTGTCCTGTAAACACAGGCACAGAGCAGTCAGGGAAAGGAATCCCTGGAGGGTAGAAGTGAGCAAAGTTTTGAAACGCATAAATAAGTAATTGCTATATGTGATCAAAACAAGCTGTAGCACAAACCTAGGAGGCCCAATTAATTACAGAGAGCTAAGGGCACAGACAGGTGTCTTTAGTGATTATTTACAGTTAAACATTGTTATTGAGAACCTCATTTCCAAGTTATGATTACCACTTACAAAGAAAACATGGCCTCAAAAACATTTTGCAATACTGGTATGGACAACCATTAAGGAAGAAAATTAACTAGAATACAAAATCTCATTCTTTCTTATACTGTACTCCGATTCCACCAGTTGATTAAACATATAGGTCAAGACGATTCTGGCAGAGAATTGTGCTTTACCTTATTCCTTTCCTTGAATCAGAAGAAAACATTTTTTTCAAGCAATGTTACTAAAAACATCATTAACACAGTAACTAAGGATTAGCTGTCCCTAGGTCAGGTTCGGAACTTGAATAACTGCAGGCAGCAAAGAGAAGCTGGGGTGAAGGAAAGCCTGGAATTTGTGATTTTCTAAGGCTTAAGATGGGAAGTGAGGACACAATTTTAATTCCAGTTCTGGGGCCAGATTTTGTTACGACGTTGAGAAAGCCTAGTGGTCAGTTTCCCCAAGTGTTAATGCTGCTAAGTTTAAGGCATTTGTGATTAACTTGAAACTGGTTCTTTAGCTTCGAAAATTAACCCTTGAAACCTAGAACCAAAGATCTGTGTTGCTAAAGGAAGATAGGTCAAATGTAGCTGAAGCTACTTTGCAAACACACCTTTCAGATAAAGTACCTTGGATGTGGCAAAATACAACTTTGTAATTTAGAAACTATAAAACTCCTCAACTTAAAAAGTCTCTTAAGCTTTAAAACTCATGAGACAAATATTTATTTGTCATTTGGTACACAGTAAGCACTCCATAAATGCTAGCTATTATGACTGTCCATTCCATACGGTTTTTCTTAAGCAGGAAATTGTTTGACAGACACTCTCACATTCTTTCTCAAATGGCCCTCTGAGGAGGAAGGAAAGAGCCCAATGTTGCTATTGCCATTTCATACTTGGGGAAGTATAAAGTGGCACAGGTGGAAGTTAACCAAGGTTCTAGACTCCTGGACCTTAGCACTTCCTTTTTGCACCTTAGGTGTTGACTGCAATGCCATTATTTCAGATGCTATTTGTCCTGATGGTGCATAAGCATTGTTTTTTGTTTGTAGGTTTAAAAACTAGCAAACAAACAAACAACTATTCCCACATTCAAGCTGACAGCTAAGAAAGAGTATAAGAAGGCTGGAAGGAATATATAACTGCTTCATCAGAGTGGGCAAAACTATTCAGCATGGTCCACTTTGTGGACCTAGAACGTGGAAACAAGATAACACTTTGAAAAGGGCAACCACTTACTTGTTCTAAATTTTTCCTTGAGGGCATCCAGGTCCTCCTTCAGGGCAACTTGCATCCACACCAAGCCAACGCAGGCCACAACACAGGCGGCAAGGATGACAAAAGCACAGAGGGGATAACAGATCTTGCAGCATCGTAAATAGTCTCCCCTGATCATAAGAACAAATTCAGCCAGGAGTAGAAGAGTGATTATGAGTACAGCTGTATTAGAAATAGCATACATGTGTCACCATATAGCTATTTACAAGGGAACACTGGGTACCACATTCTTAAATCTGAACAGTAGACTGAAAGTGACTAAATAACATGACCCATGAAGAGCTCATCTTTTGGATACAAAGGTTTCAAACTTCACATGACAGAGAAAGAGATTCTGTGGGCATAGCAGCCCACAACCGTCATCATGGATTCAGGTCTTTGGGGACAAGTTCAGGTTAGGAAAGTGTCAAGACCAGATCTTCTCTGCAATAAATTACAGCACTGTAATTTACCTGTCTATCTATTTCTTGCTTTCCAACATGTATTCCCTCCTGGGGAGCCTGTTTCAGATTACTGAAACTTCATAAACTTTTGAGCAAGTTTTACTGCAAATGAATGAAAGAAATAGGAACTGTAGGTTTAAGTGGACACCTGGTGCACTCTAGCTTATTGGTTTAGAAGGCAGGAAACACGGAAGGCAGGAAACACGGAAAGGGGTTAGACATCACACCGAACTTCAACTAGCACTCAAGGTCTAAACTAACTCAACAGAGCAACTATCCTAGTGGAACTGTTCCATTTCATCAGACCTTCATATCCCAAATCTAAGATTGCCCTTAACTACTTAACCTGACAAAGCTCATTAGAAACCAAACTCTTCCTTTAACAAAATGAAAGAACAAAGACACTCAAACAAAGAACAAAAACCTCAAAGGATTTAATCTCTTTCAGCACCCCAACCTTCTGCCTAGCCCTTGCTTCCACATCCTCAGCACAATATTCTTTTCTTTCAGTGTGCTCCCTGAGAGGGTCCAAGGACACCTTCAAGGTTCCCTTCAGCCTTTTGCCCCCCTGTGCCCCAATTCCCAATGTCCTCAAAGCTCACTACTGGATTTGCCTAGTGGCCGCATCATCTAAAAGTGGTTTGGGAAGAAGCTGCCTCTTCTTTTTGTTTCCTACCCTCCAAGTACTCTTGAGGCTCATACTTTTGTAAGTTCCTCACTATATCCCCTCACCTTCAAGATCTGGACTCATCAAGACTGCAAAGAATAACCTGAAGTCTTAAAGTCCCTGTCTCTACTACACTTTTAAAAAAGGTCTAGTCCCAAAAGCTTCTTTGCTCCCAGGTAACTCTTCTTAGCTTTTCTGCCACTCCCAACTTGGTCTCTCTGGGCTCTTGGCACATTCCCCAAGTCAATATCTCCACCCTAGATTCAGAGTTCTTCCTACACTTAGAGACAGATCTCTAACTTATCCTTCATTCAGAACCTGAGCTCATCACCCTAACATCTTTTCTTCCTGTTTGCCATCCAAGGTCTACACCCTTTTTCCTTTCTAAGTACACCCTTCTCCTTCCTTTCAATTTTCCCCCTTGGTAGTATAAGGAAATGCCTTTTCCCTCATCCCACCCCTCACCACTGCATCACTCACTTGATGAAACGAGAGCGATTTTCAACTAAACCGAATTCCTCTTCCTCCTCAGAGCTGGATTCAGAGTCTGAGTCAGGAGGCTCAGTGCGAAGGAGGCGGTGGCCTGAGCCTTTCTTGGACTTCTTTCTCCGACTGTCCCCAGCCAAGCCGATCAATGCATTAAGCTCTTTGCGCTTCTTCATCTTTTTGTGTGGGGTGAGTGGTGCACCCACTCCTGAGCTGCCAGGTTCGTACCCGATGCCCAATTCTCTCGCTACCTTGGAGCTGCCTTCCAGGGTGGGGAATTTGGGCCAGAGCCCTGGGTCACTCCCACCCAGGGGTGGGACTGACCAGATCCACTGGGGGCTAGAGATTGGAGCCCAGAGGAAAGTGGAACTCAGATGGGTGGGGGATGTCACATAGAGATGGCCAGGGAGCTGGTGATAAAAATGGATAAGGCTCTGGGCATGGAGTCTCAGATAAGAGGGTGGCAAGGGGAGCAACCTTTATCTTCCGATAGGTATGTAATATTTCTAAGTGTGCTCCAGGAGCTGAGGAAGGACACACAGATGGGTGTTTTGGCCTTCCGGGGCAGGACTTCCAGTAGAGAGCGAAAAGAAACTTGTTCTTGAATGGGAGAAGAGGGGGAGGTGCAGAGCTAGACAGTGAGAACGCACTAGTCGCTCCCTAGCTGGAGAAATGGCAGCAGAAAGGGGCTCGCAGCCGCTACAACCCCGACACAACTTGGGCGCCAAGAAAATGACGGTGTCTTGGGGTGATCACCGTTCTCCGGCCTCCGCCTTGAGTTTGAAGGGGGCCCGAGACTGAGGAAGGCCTAGAGCACGGCTCAGAGGGCTCAGCCTGCCAAGTGCCAGTCCCGCACCTGGGAGACCCCAGCCTTGCAGTCTGGGCCTGGGGGGGGGTAGGGCGGTGCGGAGTGGCGACGGCGGCTCAGCCCACCTGAAGCGCTCCCGCCCAGAGTTTGAGGTGTTCTGGCGACTCTTGGCAACTCACACGCGCCGCCTCCACTCCAGCCGCGACTTCGGCCCCCGCTCCGGCTGCAGCCACAGCTGCTCCCAACTTCCTGGTGGTGGTGGCGGCGGCGGCGGCCGCGGGCTCCAAACCCAGGCCATCGCTCCAGCCCCAGCTCACTTCCCCTTTGGCAGCAGCCGCCGGCGCCGCCTGCCAGTAAGCCGCGCTTCCATTGGCCGTTCGCCGGGTAACGTCACACCAGGGGGCGCGAGTGGCGGCGGGAGGCGGGGCGTTAAAGGGGCCGTGGCTCCAGCAGGGGTAGGTCCCGCTTACCGGTTGGGGAAGCCCCGCCCCCAGGAAGGCCACCTGGGATCTGCGGCTCACCTGTGCCGGGGCGGAGTTTTCTTTCGCCAGGAGCCAGGGGTACTGGCAGGCAAAACACCGAGCTGCTCGACCTGCTTGGAAAGTTCCTCAGCCGCCAGACCCCCAGTTGTGATCTGGGCTGACACAGCCTAGAAGCTCCGCCCTTCTGACTCGCTTGCTGTTTTTGAAAAGTTTAGGCGTGGTACAGATTAATGACCCAGTTGAACACATTCATTCATTCCATAAATATTTATTGAGAGCTTACTACTTGTCGGGAGCAGCTCTGACACTGGGGACAGTGATGAACTAAATAACCACCCGCTTTTCTGCGTAGGATTGCCAGATTAAAAAAAAAAAAAATACAGGACCCCAGGAAAACTTGAATTTCAGATCAACAACGAATTTTTTTTCGAAGTATAAGTATATCCCATGCAACATCTGGGACATCTTCATAATGAAAAGTTAATTCTTTTTTTAATCTAAAATTCAAACTTAACTGGTGTCCTGTATTTTATCTGTCAACCCCATTTCTGCAGCTTATACTTTAGTGGGAGGAGAGCAACAATAGGCAAATACATTAAACATCAGGAGGTGATGAATGTTATGAGGAAAACTGAAATATGATAAGGGGATAGGGAGTGGCTCATGATAAGGGGACTTTTGGTCAGATACTAGGAGGAAGGCAGGGAAGGAGTTGTGCAATGGCCTTGAGGAAGAAGTGACCTGGAAGATCTGGTGTGGCTGGACCTGAAGAACAAGGAGGAGAGTGGTAGGAAATAAGGGCAGACAAGCATCAGGGGCCAGATCTTGTGGGGCTTTATGGACCATAGACCATAGGCCAAGACTTTGGGAAACCATTGGTGCTTAAAGCTATGTCAAAATTTCAGAAATATGGGGCGCCTGGGTGGCTTAGTCGTTAAGCGTCTGCCTTCCGTTCGGGTTGTGATCCCAGGGTCCTGGGATCAGAGGCCCTCATCAGGCTCCCTGCTCTGTGGGAAGCCTGCTTGTGTTCCCTCTCTCCCTGTGTCTCTCTGTCAAATAAATAAATAAAATCTTAAAAAAAAATTTTTTTTTCAGAAATAACAGAAGTAAAACCAACAGATCATAGAGGTAGTAATTGGTAAAAGTGTATTGTGCACACACCAAAAAGACAGTTTGCAAACTAGGAGCACTCAAACCTAATCTTGGAATTAGGCTCAGGGGTATATTGTTAAAGAGAAGCTCGAATAGTGACAAAGTAGTGACTGTTTATTCTTCACAGTGATTGATTATAAATATTAAAATTTTCTTAAGTGATAGGGAATTGGCCAGTGGTTACCTCATATCAACCTTGGGAAACAGTCTTAGTTTTGCTTATGATTTCCAGAGGCACAAGCAAGAAACAACCCAGGTCAAGTTACCCTTGCTAACTTAAAGCTAAATGAAGCTTTGTTTGTATGTTAAACTGGCTTTGTCTGCTCAGGGAATTTTCAAGCCTGGTCTCCATTTGTTTTTTATTTTAATAATCTGCCCCCCTCGGCCATTGTCTCAGCGTGCTAAGAGTATGACCAATCAGTATAGCATTATTTTCTGTTACCACCATTGATGTAGTCAGGCCGAAGAATCACACATTCTGCGTTTCCACTAGTTGAGTCATCAGGCTGGAGGGCCATGTAGTTCCCATCTTCATCATTTATGTGATTATTGCTGATTTCATCCAGTTGTCTGATCCTGATGGCTACCATTTGGCATGTGAGTGGCTGCTGACAGGCATTTAAAACCCTCTAGAGTATACAACACACTAGGGAGGTTAATATGATGACTGTAAGGAAAACCATAACCGAGGACTGAGAAATTTCCCGGAGCAGAGATTCCCAGGAGCGAAGATTTAACCAACTAACTCAAATGGGTTATAATCAGATTCATGTTTTACTTAAGCCTATCTACATTTTGAATAATGTGCAATTGGGTTTCAGTTTTTTCTGAGTTATTTATTTACATAGGTACAACATGACGTATTAGCAAACGCATACCCTCATGATTAGTTAGTACAGGTTAAACTTGAGGGTGTTGTATTTCAGAAGGTGATGTTGCAGGTGATCTTCCCCCTAAATTTGGCTTCTATTAATGTGAGCAATCAGATAAGTTAATGAGAGAGATTTCTATGGAAACAAAAGAAAAACAAAGGTTAATAGCTCAAGCAAATTGTAAGTACTGTTTCTGAGTTTGGAGAGCAGCCAGTTGAGAAAATTTCTAGATGTCAGGTTTGAACCATTTTCAGGTGGAGTGAGGGCAAGCATGGCAATCAGAAGGGTTTTCCTGGTTTGCAATGTGAATGTCTCTGGTGATTTTTCTGAGTGGCTACATAGGAACAGGCACAAAGATTGTCCACACATGAGCTGTTGTGCTGATTTGTCTGAAGTTTAGATCAAGTTGTCCTGCTTTAGCCGGCATGGCTTCGGGAAAAGGGCAGTTTTCGTTTCATGGTGATTCCGAGTCAAAAAGAGTAGGAGAAAATTGAAAATGTTAGTCTGGAGAGTTCTGGCCAAATATTGAAGGAAAATGGAAGAATTCAGGATCCAGTTTACAGATAAAAAACAAAACTTCAAAGACAACAGCACTAGAATCTGATATTCCCAAAGATGTATTACTGAAACATAATTTTTCTCTCTATAATCATCCCCATTTCTATCAAAGATAAGCACAGTAAGACTAGTTCATTTACAATTAAGTAGTTTCTATAAACTGGGCCTGATTATTTACATAAGTGCAATAATAGGGGTCCCCAGGTGGCTCGGTTAAGCATCTGTCTTCAGCTCAGGTCATGATCTCAGGGTCCTGGGATGGACCCCTGCATTGAGCTCCCTGCTCAGCGGGGAGTCTGCTTCTCCCTCTCCCTCTGCCCCTCCCCTCCGCTCGCAATCTCTCTCTCTCTCTCAAATAAATAAATAAAATCTTAAAAAAAAATAAGTGCAACAAGAGTAGTGATTGACCATATAGGCTCTTTTAAATCTGCTTTGTTAGAACTTGTCACAAGGAATCTCAGAGTGGACTTTCCAAAGCCTCTGGAAGCTAGGAAACCAAGCCAAGGATTTGTCCAATTGTGTCCTGTTACAGGGAGAACAGATTCTTTTTTTTTAAGATTTTATTTATTTATTTGACAGAGAGAGACACAGCAAGAGAGGGAACACAAGCAGGGGGAGTGGGAGACGTAGAAGCAGATTTCCCGCAGAGCAGGGAGCCGGATGTGGGGCTCGATCCCAGGACCCTGGGATCATGACCGGAGCCGAAGGCAGACGCTTAATGACTGAGCCACCCAGGCGCCCCAGAAGAACAGATTTTTATTGAACTTATACAAATACATATTTTATCATAAAAATAAGAATATCTAATAAGAAAAAACTAATGATGTAATATATGGTGATTAACATAACATAATAATTAAAAAAAGAATATCTAATAAGAGTTTCTGAATACTGGAAGGATCAGGTTGGAAGAAAAATTTCTTAACCTTTGTCACAAAAACATTTTACCAAATTGCTCTAAATTATAGATAGCATAAAAGAGAGGAGAAAAAGGGGCCCTTTAATCTGGAAAATAAAACATTAAAGAACTATCAATGTTTTAAATGAAATCATAAAAATTATAATCATCTCATCAGTTCATTCTGTGTTATGTAAGTAATCCTTATTTTGCCTCATCCTGAGTTAGCAGCTTTATGAATCAATCAGTTTTCAATTGGAACTTTAGAAATTCTTACCTTATGTTTTGTTATGATCTTAAAGATGTCAGAAACCTGAATTTTAGCGTACTTGTCAGGGTCTTTTCCATAAATCTCTTTGAAGATGAAGCATTTTTGCAGGAATACTTTTGCAAAAGCATCAGAGTAAAACAATAACTGTTATAAGTGACAAAAGACCTTAAAAGATCTGGTGAGATTTCACAAGCACAGGCAAAGAGAGTGATGAAATTGACAACTAAATTTGGTTACTTTGTCACATACATTTTAAAATCATGATTGATAACATTATACCAGAACACACTAGATTTTTAGGAACTTCACACCATCTCTGGAACACTTGTGTTAACATATATAAGTAGAACTAAAGAAAGTTTAGCATTACTTATTTTACAATGCTTCCCATGTAATTTAACATTTCAAATGACCCTAAATAAAGTAACATTTCTCTTATCACTTTATTCAGAATTTCATTGTTTCATCATGGTGAAACAATACTTAGTTATACATTAAACCAAAGTGACAGTTAAAAGATTTAAAAAGCAAAAACATAAGTTACACAATTGTAAAAAAAAAACCAACAAAAACCTTAGCTCTTTTAATAGAGAAGACTTAGGTTTTGTTTTTTTTTTAAATAATCAAAGAGTTGATAAAGACAAAACACAGAATCTTTTCTAGGCAAATTACATTGAAGGTAAAGAAAAACCTTTGTTTATAATTTTTTTATTAAGAGCAGACTAATAATCTAAGAAACCTTTGTCCTCTTAACAGAAAGAAAACTAAATTCTAATTTTGCATCAGTTTACTTTTGATATTAAAACTCTCCTTTTTTTTTGAACATAAATAAATCCATTTCAATCTTAATCAGCTTGACCAAAATTCTCTTCTCAAGATTTCTTTTCCACAAACCTTATACAACTTCCTGTATCCATTCAGGTTTGGTCTTATCTTTTTCCTTTCTTAATCAGGAATAATAGTTTTACTTT